CGTGAAGAGCTTGCGACTTGGGTACTGCTCAGACCCAACAAACCGGTGCTGTAACACGTTGCGACACATTTCGCCAAGTGACTTCTGAGTCAGCAAATCTGCAAGTTCGAGCTCCTACAACACCCGAAGCTTATCCGGGTGGCCTTGGCCACAAACCCACATACCACTAATCAAAGCAACGGTCTGTTCAGCGCCACCTTCACTGATCTTGTCAATTTCACACTTTTCACAAAATTGAAACAAATGCGGTCGTTGCAGTGCAGATTCAGTGCAGTCCTTGTCCACCTGTTCCTCTTCAATGATGGACTTGATATCCTGATCCAAACTCCAAACCCCATTCGAATCTGCCTTTGGATCAACGGCGTTCACCGCTTTCACCGGTCCTGCTCAAAGCCTGCTATGCGATCAGCCCAATGTTGGATGGCCTCCAGGCATTCCAAACACCAAACAAAGTTTGGGATGATCCGATGACTCCGATGACCTTTTAGAATCTTTTAGATATTTTTGGATTGTCCGGGCACCGGCATCCGGCGGCATCCGGCGGCATCCGGCGGCATCCGGCGGCATCCGGCGGCATCCGGCGGCATCCGGCGGCATCCGGGCTCCAAGAGGCCTCTCCCCCCCTCACCTCCGCTGCGATGCTGCGGCGCAACACCTTGGATTTCACCTTGTTGCAACCTGAGCATTTGAGACGAAACGATAAGAATGAATCCGAATGAATCCGAATGAATCCGAATGAATCACGAAACATTACGAAACACGGGACGTGAAAAGAATTGAAAAAACATGGACGATGTGAAACAGATTTTGTGACTCAAGCGTGTCCAAAGAGTGTTGAGCTCTTTGCATTGCCGCCCAAGCTGCTTCACCTGGCAAATGTCCATGATCCTGATATTTTTCGATCTTTCCTTGTTCTCGTTTGATCTCATTTGTTCATACATGACGTCTGTCGACACGATATCTGTTGATCCTGTCACCTGCACCATGCTGTGCCTTGGTGTATTCGTCTGGGCAGTAGATAGTCACTGCTCGCCCTGCACGGCCCATCCGTGCCTGGCAGAAACATCGCAAGAGGTGAACGGAATTTGGATGAATTTGGGGGTTCTTCGAAGAAGGGAAAATGGATTGCTTAAAATTTGAAGGACCATGAAGGGCCAAATTCTGACTCTCGGTTTTCTCTCAGCATGAAATAGACTCTGCAACTGCCAAGTTGGCCTTTTATAACTTTTATAAACGGTTCCATGCGTGGTACTGTTACGGGCTGCTTGGCCATACCAATCATACCATCTCACCATGTCGCCCAAGTCGCTCGAAGACGTTTTTCACGCGCTAAAGTCGCGATGTGGCCGATGTGGATGGGACTTTCCCAATGTCCCATCCGAAGCTGTCAGCAACTTTTGCAGCAAATGCTGCAGGGCCTGGCATCGAAATTTTCAGATCTGCAGAGGCGTCAGCATTGGGTCAGCATTGCATATCAATAAAATTCAATAAATATATCAATCATATTCAATCATATCATTGCATCATGCCAGATTGCTCCAAGAGCCCCACTTTCGACCGGCCACATATGGCTGCCATCCACGACCTTGATGTCCAAGCCATGGGTCATGCAGTGACAAGATGTGACAAGCCAACAAACCAGGCTGCATGTAGCATGAAACATGGATCCATTGGTGCTCGTTTGCTCCGCTTGCACCAAGTCTGCTGGCACATCTGTTGAGACAACTCAGACAAAAAGTTTCCTCCGTCGTTCAATGACGGAGCCGACAGTCCAACAGAGTGAGAACTCACAGCACATGAGGCACATGAATCAGGTATAAATAACTCATGCTCACAGTGGGCTGGCAAAGCAGAATATGATGGGCACTTAGCGGATCTGTTACATCTGTTGTAATTGGCAGATCTAAACAAACAGAAGGACAATCCACCAGGACGAATGAGTAGATCACAGGCAGCGCACTGCTGATGATCAGCCGTCCAACAAATCACAAAAAGATGCTACGAAGAGCCAGGCCAGATCTTCACGGATGCAGGGAGCTGATGATTTTTAGGACCTAGCCTGACTCAATATATTCAGAATCGATGTCCTTTGGCAAATGTTTGGTGCTGTGGTTTTGCTCTCGCAGGGCGTATCTGTGTGCGTGAGGGGGGAGGCTACTCCGGGGGCCCACAACCAGTCTGATTAAGATGAAACTGATCAAACCATCACAAGTGACATGAAACCATCACAAATACATGGAATACACGGAACATCATGGAACTTCAGTGTGTTGTAGATCATCGGAACATTTATTGGTCTGCCCAGTCACAGCGACTATGTGAATGTCTTGCTTGCCTCAAACTCGCGAACTCTCAAGCTCTCTTTGACCCTGCTTGCAATGAGGTTCTTGCTGAGATCTTGGTAGATGGCTCTAGCCGGCAGAATATTTCTTCTGCAACCGGCAGGTTCCAAAGAGTGTCCCGCTGTCCGATGGCCACATACAACGAACCTGGACTGTCAACACATGAAAGAAGGAACACTGCAAAGTCAAAGTCATGCCATGCCAAAGTTACAGTAAGTCTTTGCAGCTTGGTCTTGGTCTTGTGATGCAAAAAAACTTAGCAGGCTGAGCAGCAGTGTCTCAGTCCATCAGGTTTTCGCAGCGCCTCAAGAAGTGTCACAGGTACCTTGGCTGCTGCATAAAAGGCACGCACACAGGAAAAAAAGTAAAGACACTGTCTCAGAAAAGCCTCAGACATGCCTTTCGCGCAATCAAAATCCCAATATCAGTATGTCACATGTTTGAATTTGCATGGAGTGCGTATGATGTAATGTATGATGTAATGTATTATAATATGCATTACATCTCCCTGTTCCCATTCCCTGGTTTCTTTCGCCTTAAAGTTTCTTGTCACCAAGTGTCGCCGCTGGAAAAAACTGCTGCTTCCGTTTGTGGATCGCATGCAAGTCTTGTTGGCCTTCAGGTTTCAATGGTTTGATTTGAGATCAGGATAGATCAGGTCAGGCATGTGAGTTGGACGATGTTTGTGCAGTTTGACATATCTTTCAACTCAAAATGTGAGGAATTGTGTGGTTTCAATCGGTACTGGAGGTACTTCACTTCGATCGAGACACGAATCACCAATGAGGCCACCCTCAAAGTACCTGGGTGAACTTCGGGAAGATTTCTGGGAACTTTCCTGGGGGGTCGAGGAAACTTTCTGGACTTAGCTTTCTGCACTGTGGGTTTCAAGGGCTTGTGCCAGAAGCGAGTGCAAAAGCCACCCAAGTCCGTTTGCTCTGAGATGCCAAAGATGCTCATGAACCATACTTGGGATCCAAATCTTCAAACAGCTTTGAAGGCCATGGGGGCAAGGGCACTGCAAACCTATTCATACCGTTTATCGTGCATATGAATATGTACATACATCTACAGTACATATTATATAGTATTATATATATATGTATCAAACATCACTGCCGAGCTGCCCTTGGCGAGCAGCGCTGTCCCATGCAGCAAAAAACTCCTTCTTGGACCTTAAACGCGCGCCGCTTTGAGGGACGTTGCAAGTGTAGCTTTCTAAAGAAAGGAACGACGACGAATTTCTTCAGGTGTTTTTTCTGGTTGATCCAGTTGAACCCACAACATGACGCCAATCAAAGACCTCTTTACTCTTTGGCATCTTTCGTGGCTGTGCCTTTCAGATCTTTCAGCCATACCAGGCCGGGGAACAAATCTTCGCAAGCTTCTTGACGCGTTGCCCAAACACTTCGTCGCCGCAAAGTCTTTGCCACCAAGGGATTCACCAGTCTGCAAGAAAAATCAAGAACTGCGAAGATGCTGATGGCTAACACAAATTGGTCAAATCATGTCAATCATGTCAAAATAGCTGGGACTTATGGATGTTCATCCCCCTAAAAATGGTATTTTCATAGGTATTGATCCATATTGATCCATAGCCAATTCAAATTCCAACATGGCACCGAATCTTTGGGACGTGGGGATGTGATTTTCCATGATCCCCGCCTCAGGGAGTGCATCATCTCCAGCCCCTGACCCACCAGCTTGCAAAGTTTCTCCTCCACGAAGAGGTACATGGGCTCGAAAATGAAAAGCTTGGAAAATCCTCAAGAAATTCCGAGAAATGAAATGAAATGTCAGTGACGTCTTTGTTTGGTAGAACCATTTTGAACCCAAAATGCCAAAGTTATCCAAAGTTGCTTCTTTTGGGCCTGTTGTTCGATCAGGGCACGGCTTTGTCGCCCCAGTGCTTGTGAAAGAAGCAAGGTTCCGCCACCCAGAGAATGCCCTGATTGGATCTGATTGGGCGTTTGGTTCACAGTTCACATTTGCTTGACATGTCGGTAATTCACGTGTCTGGACTGAAACGAAGCTGCCACTGGCAGTTGGCTCCGAAAGACTCGGATATGATGAATGCTTTCATTCCAAATCATTCTAAGGGTTTTGTTTCATTTTTTTCCCTCCATGCAACAATGATTGTGTCACGATGACAAACGTGTCGGCCCACATGGGTGCCACGCCTATTCCAAAGACCTGCTGCGGAGCCTGGCACGACAATCGCAACTGGAACGAAGAACACAACAAGGACATCCAAAGGACACGCCAAACAAAACACAAAGAAAACACAACAAAAACGACATGTTTTGGAGGCTCCTGAGGCATTTCGTTGAGGAACTCCTCCAGAATTTCTTCCACCTGATGAGCGTATGCCATCCAATCCTCGGCCTCAAAGGGACCGATTTCACACGATTGAACAGTGAAGTCGTGACATGTCGTGACATGTTGTGACAAATCATCTCATGGCAAAACTTCGCACCTCAAGTTGCGTCTTCTCAAGCAGAGCAGGTAGAGCTGGTGCACGGCCATGACCATTCAAGTCCACCGACACGAGCTGCACATCACCCAGACGCCAGCTTAGCACCTAGCAACTCTCATGGCGTTTTCGAATATAGAGGGGAACTTGCGAACCACTGAATCCAATATCTGATATCTGCAAACTCTTGGAGTTTCCTATTGTCTGAAATCGTCCATTTTCATCCATTTTCCTACAAACTTCCAAGTAGAACAACTTGGCAAAGAATGTGAAATCAGCAGAAACACTCCAAAAGTCTACGAGCTGCTGCGCTCGCCTGGATCTTCGAACGCTGTCTAGGCTATTCCTTGAATTCAACCTTTGTGACCCCGAGCAACCTCGACTTACACATTGCCACGTTGCCACGTTGTCATGGACACGTTGCCTGACCCTGGATACCGATGGATACCGATGGATACCGATGGATACCGATGGATACCGATGGATACCGATGGATACCGGGGTTACCCGGGCCCTCCCAGACTGGTCCCAGGGGTCCCAACTCGGTACCTCTGGGCGACGTTGTTTTTGTGTCTGCACATCAACTCGCAGGAGCCGTGCCAGGCTTTGGGCAAACGGCGTCCACACGTCCTTGCAAAGACCTCGATTTCATTCGATTTCACCGTACACGATGTTTCACGATGTGTTACAGTTTGACCGGTTTTCAACTGGAACATGGCGAAGGGCAGATGTGCAGTCTACAGTGTCTACAGCCCATCAACACAAGCATAGCGGCATAGCAACGGTTTGAGAATGTTTGAGATGTGGACCATTCGCATGCAAAAGTATGCAAAGAGTCCGAGCCATGGCTGGGGTTCGGGTGGTTCGGGTTCACCGAGAAGGTGTACCAACTGATTTTTTTCTGGGCCCACTTTCCGATTCATTCTGCAGCTTTCCTGTGCCCCTTCTACTTCGTCAAAAGGCTGTGCTTCTCTTGAGGAAACATGCAAAAAAGGATACCAAGGTTACGAACTACTGTATAGAGGTACTAGTAAGCATTTACTTAGGATATCTTTGACCTTTGGACTTTCAAGACTCTGGGTTGTGACAATGCTGTCCTTTGTGTCTAGAATTTCATCAAAAAGCTGCGGCTGAAGCCTTTCAAAGCACCAACCACGAGATCAACAACAAGGCAATATGGGAAGCAGCACACGCAACAGGTCAGTTACACCGTTCGGCCAACACGGTGGATGTAGCGAGTGACCTGAGGTCTAACAAATGAGAGAACGACGGAAACCAATGCAACATGATGATGACATAATGCAACCGAAACATCCCCAAATATTCCCAACACCCAACAGACCCTGAAGGATCCTGAAGGCACACATGGCAGGTTCACCCAAGCTGAGACAGTGGACATCGACTGGAAGCTGAAAGTTGATGACCGTCTTGATGTCTGGCCTGTCTGTGCTCGTCACACAGGTAACATCCGGTGAACATGATCATCTGTCCATCCGGTGCCAGGGCGCTATTGAAGTGATTGACCTGTTTTGAATGTTTTGACATCTTCTCTCATGGGCACGACTCGCTCAGTTGCAGGCAAGTCCAACCCACGGGAAGCGATGTCGGTGGCAAGGAGGAAGTTGGCCTCAATCGAGATCTACTGAGATCTACTGAGATCTACCTTCTTTATCCTTCTTTCGGCGTGATCATTTGTGATCATCTAAGGTCGTAACGACAAAACTGTGCAACCCTCAATCTACAAATCCAACCCTATATATCCAGGAATCCAGGATTGGGTCATTGCCGTCATTGCCTCACTGCATTCGACAGACTGAGACAGCACAAGCAAATCAGGTGCACAAGCCTCTCCATTCTGGAATTGCTGGAGTGAAGCCGCACGCGCAACCTACCATGAAACCAAAGCTGAAAAAGCAGTACATATGACAAGTATCAACAAATGACATTAGAACCCCGGCTTGTGGGAAAATTCACATGTGAGGTTGTACAATTCACAGGAATATTTACAAGTAAGGCACTCCTCGTTTTAACGTTTGAATCGGATTTTGCTGTGTAGCATCATGGTGTAGCATCGCGGTATCGCGTGCATTTGGCAATCTGTGCAATGGGCATCAACGCTGTTGGTATCCGAGTTGAGGCGAACCAATAGGAAAATTAACATTCGCGACCCAAATCTACCCAAATAAGAATGAAAACCTATGCATACAATATCTTCAAATACACATTCGCTGCGCATATATTTTGCAGTTTGGAAACGGAAGGCATGAATATCTCGCTGGTGTGATTGCTGCGCTTACAAAAGTATGCTGGTTTGTCAATCTCTCTCAGATTGGCCATGCAGTGTTGACATCTCCAAGTCTAAGGCCGCACAAAACATGGCAACCTGTGAAACATTTGGCTCTGGTGACCATTTTCCAACTGCCCATGTTGAAGTGAATCATCATCTCGCGTGCAAGTTCAAGTAGAGCTGACATCACGCAACCACACCCAACCCCCAAAGAAATGGAACGCGACAAAATATGTGCGTGTGAAAAGCAAATGTGGTGTCCAAACTTTACCTGTTTAAGACTGTATAGTTGGCCGATATCGGTTGATCATAAGGTGACACTTCCTATGTCCACCTTGCTGGTCACTTAGTTGAGAACAGCCTGTGATAGGTTTCCGTGGATCTCTGCAAACTTCAGACCAGAAAGCCCGAAGATAATTGCCAGACGATGGGTCACCTGCCGTCGACTATGCACAGATGCCACACTTGACAGATCTTCAAAGCCAAAGGAAAACACGAGAAAACTGTGAAAATCCTCTAATGTCAACATGGTCAACATCACATCGGTGCACCTCCTTGGTGGAGCAAAAAATGATGACTCTGGAATTGTAGTTGCGAGACGCCAAGCCTTGGAGTATCTTGGAGCATCTTGGAGCAGTGCGCGACAGTGACAGCGAGAGATATCATGGATCATGACACTTTCATGGCTTGTTTGAGGCTATGTCGGCATCTGTTGCTTCGTTCGAATATATATATATATATATACACATATCATATATATATATACATATCATATATATATATACACGTATATGTTATCGAAGGAAGTTTAGAAGTCAAACTTCCGACAATATGGAGAGATGAAAAGCAGAGCAGGGCAGAGGCAGAGAGAAGAGGCAGATTAGAAGAGAGAAGATCAGAAGAGAAAGAGTAAGAAGACAGAAGATGCAGATGTGCGAAAAGGTAGGAAAGTCGCGAAACACCGTGTTTTTCCAATGATTTGTGGCTCCGGAGGGTCGAAAAGTAGGCTCGCTACAGCGGCGGGTGCGGAGCCAGCTGGCCAGACGAGAGATGAAAAATTGCACGCCGTTGTGGCGCGAAGCACATTTTGAAGTCAAAATGTACAAAACACACCATTCTCGGACCACTTTTGGAAGTTGCGATGTCAAAAAAGTGCATGCCGTTGTGGCGCGAAGCACATTTTGAAGTCAAAAGTGCAAAACACACCATTCTCGGACCACTTTTGGAAGTTGCGATGTCGAAAAAGTGCACGCCGTTGTGGCGCGAAGCACATTTCCAAGTCAAAATGTACAAAACACCAGGGGTTCGGACCACTTTTGGAGGTTGCGATGTCGAAAAAGTGCACGCCGTTGTGGCGCGAAGCACATTTCCAAGTCAAAAGTGTTAAAAACTGGCGGTCTCGGACCACTTTTGGAGGTTCAGATGTCGAAAAAGTGTCGAAAAAGTGCACGCCGTTGTGGCGCGAAGCACATTTCGAAGTCAAAAGTGTAAAAAACTGAGGGTTTTGAGCCTTTTTTGACGTGAAGATGTCGAAAAAGTAGACACTGATTAACTTAACTAACTTGACTAACTTAACTAACTTCACTAACTTAACTACCCTAACCTCGACGACAACAGCAACAACAACAGCAACAACAACAACAACAACACCAACCACAACAACTACAACTACAACAACGATAGATCGATAGATGGAGAGATAGATAGATAGATAGATAGATAGATAGATAGTCAGACAGGTAGACAGCTAGACAGATAGACAGATGAAAGAGAGAGAGAGATAGATAGATGGATAGATAGATAGATAGATAGGTAGATAGGTAGATAGGTAGATAGGTAGATAGGTAATTAGATGAAAGAGAGAAAGAGAGAGATAGAAAGATCGATAGATAGATAGATACATAGAAGATAGGCTGGCAGGTAAGTAGATAGTCAGAGAAAGAGAGAGAGAAAGAGAGGAGACCTCAAGCACCTTTCGGTCCATCAGTGGCTTCGCTCTGCCATCCCTCATTCACAACAACCAAGCTCTCCTATAGGTTTCCTATTTTTGAAACTTCCGCCACCGCCTTGTGCGGTACTACTGGTAATATATATATATATAAACTCAAAATTGTAATCCCGTTCTTTTTATCTATTCATCTAAAGATACAGATCTTTGCGGTACATCATTCTGCTTTCAAAGTGGCTGAGCAAGGCTGCCTCACGCAGCTCTGCACTGGGGGCTTTCACAAACTCCTTCGCTGCAAATCAAAAGGAAAATCAAACAACTCAGAAACCGCAGCTGTTCTGGTCCGTTCAACTTTCAAAGTTTCATTGACTTTGCAATTCAAAGGCCTCCACTCTTTGTGTTGAATTTATAGATCCCTGGCCACATATAAGCACAAGACATACTATTCCGAAAGTCTTCTTCCGACTTGTATTGTTGTCATGCTGATGTCATCCAGTCTCCAGATTTACGTCAGGACCATCAGATCAATCTCTGGTCAATCTCCTGTTCCAAAGTCTGAGCAACTGCATTGACAGGACTCGCGTGGATTCGTTGCGGCTTGACCTTCATAATTTGAGGCGTAGCGGCGCTGCGATGTGAAGAGTGAGGTGTAACTCGGTGTGTAACGACGACTGTGTCATTGTTCAAATCTTCAGAGACCATTCCGACCATTAAATCAGATCAGCTTCTGACCAGCGCCAAAGCTGCCAGATCTTCCACTGAAGCATTGAGCGTTGCAGAGAAAAGCATTGTCCTGGGAACGCATAGCATTGCACAGCTAAGACAAGATGGAGTTTTAAAAGACTGGTCATGCAGCTCATTGAGCTGAACCCGTACCTGAAATAGCCGATGTGATGTGTCTTATGGTTCTTGATGTTTTTTGCATCGAGAATAAAGCGTGAAATTGTGAGCATTTGCCCCATCTTTGTGCAAAGACTTGGGCCCGGGCTGACAACCCTTTGCACAGCGCTTCAGCACCTCCAATCACCAATTTGACATGCGCCGAGATTCAATTGATCTAAATTTCAGAGCAAATTTCAAAACATTGGGGCCACCAGACACTCCGAACATTAGACCTCCAAGCATTCTTGTCGGAAGCCCATCTCCAAGAGCCTCCGGTGTCGCTTTCAGAATTGTGTGCCCCGTTGAAATGTGCTCGGAATCCTGCCTATCAGCTTCGTCGAAAACAACAATCTCTAGCAATTCCATGTGAACCTCAGAAGCTACGATATCCGACACCGCCCAGACACTTCGAGCCTTTGAGATTTGATGAGATTTGATGAGATTTGATGAGATTTGATGAGATTTGATGAGATTTGATGATATTCATATATAGTTTATACGGTTCTAACTTTACGACCACTTTATAACCTTAGTCTTGGAGTCTTGGTCTCAGGCGGATTGTGTGTTCATCAGGTGGTCCAAAAGTCTGCCAGGTGTAGCTACCACCAGATCTGGCTGATGTCTCAGCGAGGCTGCCTCCGGTGAAGAGTGGAGAAAGGATGAAAAGTGGTGAACAGGACGGGAAAAGAGATGAGGAAAGAGTTGGTTCAAAACACGGGAAAGAGATAGGCAACTCGACATGCTTTTGCAGTGCGTGTACAACGCTTTCACATTTTTCACCACAAGGGTGTCATTTGAATTGTCTACGCATCATTCATAATCAAACATTAATTAAGATCATAATGAACATGGCCCTGGTGTGAGCCTAAGACATTCAGTTGCGTGACATGCCTGGTCGTGTGCAATGTAGCCTCCGGCGACCTTTGCAGGTGCACGGTCTTTTTGGTTAAGAAAAAAGCACTTTAGTCTTGCGAGCTTTCACTTGGTGTTAGCACTCACAAGTTATCTGCATTGTTTTGGACGTTTGGGCTGAGGCCAGTTGGTGAGTCACCATCGTGTACCTATTGCACAAAGTGAGAAACCAAATATGGAGCCATCATCACGTTTTCACAGTGAAACATAGTGAAAGTGGATGAGACAGACATTGCATGACTCATGGCGCATGATTTTGACTGCGACGGGGCACTTCGCCAGGCGCTGGAGCATGGAATGGCATTGCCTAACTGCTGTTCACGTCAGCAGAAGTTATTGAAGGGTTTCAATTATTGAAGGGTTGCAATTATTGAAGCGTTACAATTATTGAAGCATTGCATTTATTGAAGCGTTGCAATTATTGAAGGGTTTCAAGCAATTATTGAAGCGGTGCAATTGTTGAAGGGTTGCAATTATTGAAGCGTTGCAATTATTGAAGGGTTTCAATTATTGAAGGGTTGCAATGTTTGAAGCGCTGCAATTATTGAAGGGTTGCAATTATTAAAGGCTTTCAATTATTGAAGGGTTGCAAGTATTGAAGCGTTGCAATTATTGAAGGGTTTCAACTATTGAAGGGTTGCAATCATTGAAGGGTTTCAATCATTGAAGGGTTGCAATCACTCAAGGGTTGCAATTGTTCAAGGGTTGCAATTATTGAAGGGTTGCAATTTTTGAAGCGTTGCAATTATTGAAGGGTTTCAATTGTTAAAGGGTTTCAGTTATTGAAGCGTTGCAATTATTAAAGGGTTGCAATAATTGAAGCGTTGCAATTATTGAAGGGTTGCAACTATTGAACGGTTTCAACTATTGAAGCGGTGCAATTTTTGAAGGGTTGCCATTTTCGAAGGGTTGCAATTATTGAAGGGTTGCGATTGTTGAAGGGTTTCAATTATTGGAGGGTTTCAATTATTGAAGGGTTGCAATTATTGAAGCATTGCATTTATTGAAGCGTTGCAATTATTGAAGGGTTTCAATTATTGAAGCGTTGCAATTATTGAAGCATTGCATTTATTGAAGCGTTGCAATTATTGAAGGGTTTCAAGCAATTATTGAAGCGGTGCAATTGTTGAAGGGTTGCAATTATTGAAGCGTTGCAATTATTGAAGGGTTTCAATTATTGAAGGGTTTCAATTGTTGAAGGGTTGCAATTATTGAAGTGTTTCAATTATTGAAGGGTTTCAATTATTGAAGGGTTTCAATTATTGAAGCGTTGCAATTATTCAAGCGTTGCAATAATTAAAGCGGTGTAATTATTGAAGGTTTGCAATTATTGAAGGGTTTCAATTATTGAAGCGGTGCAATTGTTGAAGGGTTGCGATTATTGAAGGGCTTAGGGTTTAAAGGCTAGGCTTATGAGTCACTGATCATGGATTTTATGGGTTTTGTGGATTATGTATACATATATATATATATATTGATATTGATATTGTGGGTTGAATATATTTGAATACATTTGATGGATTCTCTGGACTTTTGCAGTTAGCCAATTTGGCTGCAGGATTCCTCTGATTTTCACTCGGCTCCCCCACACTGCAAGCTCTCGAGTTGGTATCAAGACTACAGCCTTTGTGCCCACAGGTCCTGCCAGACTTTTGGAGACGAATTCTCATGACAATATCAAGATATATCAAGCACATCACAAGAACAGATATCAATGAACAAATGAGAGAAATGAGAGAGGTTGCAATTTGGCTCTAAACTGTTCGCATCTTGAAACCCAAACCAGGCTAACCAGACTCTCAGACTCTCAGACTCGTCTCAAACCTCCAAACAGATTCTCTGACTCTGAGCCAAAGAGTCTGGGAGTCTGAAAGTGAAAACCTCAACAAATCTCAACAGTTTTGATTAAGTATTAATAATATTTAATAATCATAGTTTCAGACCTAGCTGTCTTTGCTTATTGACAACGTCAACAGAGTTTGTCATACAAAAACCCATCAGTTCAGGTCCACTCTGCTTCCGTATCAGTTGATTAGTTGTGACAACTGCTCTGTTCTGCTCTGTTCATATACCATCCATCTTAATTAGTATGTTTATCCATAATTTTATCAATTTTATCCGACTCCGCATTCCACGATGTGAACCTCCACATTCTGCAATCTCAACCCTGTTGCATTTGCCGCCTGTCTGTGGAAATTCATTACAGGCGTTCTCCCCCATCTTTCTAATCGTACAGAGTCATACCGTCCAACTGATGCCTGTGAATATCTGTGAATCCTCGTGTGGTTTTGCCATTTGCATCCATTTGCTGGTTTTATTATGTTTTATTGTCCTTTCGTGGTCGGTGTCGTTTTGTCACAGCTTCTGTCGAGCTTCCTAAAATCAATCGCCCTGCTGCATCTCGTCGGCGTGCGCGCACACTGCTGCTTTGGCCTTGTCACATCCAAGAAATCTCAAACGCGAACGAACAGACTTTTAGACTCTTCTTATATTCTCAAGCAAGATATATCAAGTAATATTCAAGTAATACATCAAGTAACTCAAGACTCAAATAGGTGGTCTGCAGAGTTTAAATCGCTGCTGTCATGCCGTCTGCGTTGTCTGCGCGTCCAGACACAGGCGCTCTAGCATTGGCAACAAGAATGAGGCCGTCTTGCCGGAACCTGTCCAACCAGGAAATGCAACTCAAGACACTCAACAAAACATTGAGAACAAGCTTCCCTACATGCAATTTCTCCTTTAAGATCTTTAAGTGAAAAGAGGATGCTTGGTGTCCGTTCCACAGGGAGCTGTTGACCTCTGCATTGGATTCGACTCAAGTGCCTGTTTCAGCCGTCGCCAAAACGTCGGAACCGCCGAGAGCTGATGGGATGACATCCCTGACAAAACATGTCACATGCTGTCGCAACATGTCGCAACAGGCTTAGAATCTTAAAACCTGCAGAAGAATCAACACACTAAGAGATTGTGTCAACAGTTCGCTCCATCTAGGCCTCTGCACAGGTGTAGGGCATTCGAACTTCAACTCAGAGCACGCCTGTGCTGCTCGATTCTTTGAATATGAATAGGTTCAACCTATATCGTACGAATTTGAACCATATATTTCACTATTCCACAAACACCAACAAATACAGTAGCACAATTACATAGTTTGATGTTACATATGTTACATCATGTTACGCTAAATGTCAACAAATTGATACAAATTATAACAACTTGCCCCACATTGACAAAGGCATTGCCATAGGATCCATAGGCTTCGTAGCCGATTGCTGCACTGCGTTGAGGTGCAAACTCGCAGAAGAGGCCTGGCACCACGAGGATTTGACCCTTGTCAGGCCTACCCTATGGAGGCGCTTTCACATCTCTGCCTGTTTCCAGAGAAAATATGTGAGAAGATGAGAAGGTTAAGGGAATCTCGGGTTTTAAATTGCAAACAAAGCCTCAAAAGGCGCTCTTCATCAGGTTCAGTTGGGCTTTCCCACTGAGGACTTTGCTTTGAGAGGCGAAGGTCAGCGAAGTGGATATTGGTCCGCAAATGCTCAGGAGTGCCTGGAGTCAGGGACAGGGAATGAAGAGTGCTCAAAGTATTGGAAAATCATGGAAGATCATTGGAAAAACATGTATGATTATGTATGATTCATCATTAGAGAAAGATCATCGTACTGAATCACTGAATCATACTCTTTAAATTATTAGACATCCTTGCAGCAAGAACACGGCATAACTGCCCATTTTCTGCTTGAGTCAAGACTTTCGCATTTGTGGGTCAATTTCAACTAATTCAAATCATTATATAATACTTTCCCAGGGACTCCCCCATCCTGTTTTTGATCTCTCTGAGAGTCCACACCGATTGCAAACCCTGCTCCGGCCTTGCGACTCTACAGGTGCTGACCTCGTCAAAGGAGATGAGTCCAGTGAGAACATACGAATAACACAGGAATACAACAACTAATATGTATATATATATATTATATATATATAACATGAATAACATTGAGCTCCTTGAGCTTGACACCTTGAACTTGAAGTGTTTCAGGTTCCGAGGCCCCCACTCCACTTGCTCTGGCTCTTCTGGCTCTGGTTCCTGAAGGCTTGGCAAAAAGAACAGGCACTCGGACCGTCGGACTGGCAAACTGAGTCAAATTGAAACTCGGAGTGCAAAATGCAAGCCGCAAGTGCCGCAAGTGCCGCAAGTGCCGCAACTGGCGCAACTGGCGCAACTGGCGCAAGTGGCGCCTGCGCCTTGGTCGTTCCCGTCGTTTGCTTCCTTTTCTTTTTCAGGCCCTTGCAAGCATGCGAGCACGCCACTGATGTCACTGATGGATGTCTGATGAAGCTCCGAGGTCGCCTTCCCTCGCCCAGATTCTTCGAGCTTTTCCCTGTGACAGATTCTCAAGATCTTCATCTGATCTTCATCAATCTGCATGAAGCCTTTTGGCAAAGTTTTGTCTCAAGATGCCACCTGTCACACCAGATGCCTTAGATGCCTTCAGATGCCTTCAGATGCCTTCAGATGCCTTCAGATGCCTTCAGTGCTCATTCTCTCTGGATTAAACAACTCGTTTCACTGCTCTGTGGTCTGCCTGATCTTCGCCTGCAAAGCAGACCGCGTCGTGGCAGAATCCTGACGGGAGGTGACCAAAGGCCTGGTGACAACGATCCAAAATGACCCAACAGACCCAGAAAGTGGAAAGTGGAAACATTGCCTGAACTTTCCTTTGGTCCTGTGTAATGATATGGAATGATAAGGCTGTGAATTGTGGAAATCATTCAGTACTGATGTACACTGATGTATACTGATGTATACTCTATATCATCTATATCGCTTTGAGCATCTTTCAGCATCTTTCAGCATCTTTCCGCATCTTTTGGCCGCACCTCTGCTTCATGCTGTCCGAAGTCCCACTTCCCCGACTTCTGCGTCTCCTGTAACTTTGAGACCCGCCAAGCCAGTCGAACCAGTCAAACCAGTCAAACCAGTCAAACCAATCCCTCAAAAACTTGCCGTTGCCATGCAAAACCCGCCAGTCTCAGAATCACTAAGTCCACCTCGTCACTGACCAGGTCTGCAAACATGAGGCCAGATGTCCCAGAGAGGACAGGGCCGGTCTCATCCTGGCACAGGCAGCACATTCTCACCATCCATGGGAATACATCAATACCATTCAATACCTATTGTATCCTATTGTATACTACTGTGTCATATATCAATTTTGGAGGAACATCCATCTACCAGCTGGGATTCACCAGGGAACCAGGGTTTTCACCCGCGAGTTAGAAATGGAAGAGCATGTGTTCAACCCCAAATTCATCCCTACACAGCACAACGGGCATTCAGGATCATTCAGGATCATTCAGGCATTATCATTTATCATTTGGCTACTTTGGTTCACACACCCTTCGCTGAAAACACCTTGGTCGTTGCGGATTGGACCCGTGGCGACCGTAGCGAAACAAAGTATCTGACGTGCACGCCTCGCTAGCATCATCTGGCTGCTCATCTGCATCACCGGTACGAATGAGGTCCATGACCGTCCAAAAAGCTGCGCTAGGCAGTATTGAAAGTTGAAAGGACTGAAAGGTTGCACATTCTACAGGCAAACTAGACTTTGTGGGACTTTGTAATTCTTCAGAACCATGGTTTTGAAAAGGGAGAAGTCTCCTTCATGGTGTCTTTGGCACTGATGTGGCATTGGTGTCACTGCGTGCGGCTGATTTCTGATGTCTGTCTGTCCTGATTTCAACAGGCAAACATTGAATTCACAATTGTCTATCCTCGCTTAAAGCTTATGCTGCAAAGAAATAAATCGGCAACCTCACTCTCACAGCCTCGTGGGCGCGAGGGCAGATGGTGAAAAAATGTAAAAAACAGGCGTTAAGCACAAGGCTTAACAAGGGGAGAAAAAAAACACAAGGGCACAAGCTGTCACAAGATGGCACGAGATGGCACACGGGCTTTTCCTGTTTTTTGCGGTTTTTCTCTACAGTGCTGAAGATGGTTGGAGCTGTGATGCAGGCGGACTGGTGTTTTCCCCTCGAGCTGAGTCTTTCATGGTCTTTGTGACAGCCCCTGCCTCATGACAATGACCACAATGACCACAATGCCTCTTGTCCACACATCGTACATCTCTCATGGCCAGCTTCTGTGCTCGGATCCAACGAGATTGTCATGCTGTGCAAATGCGGCAGCGGGCGGCTAGTCGAGCTATTAAAACTTCCAGCTGTTCCGACACCTTTTGCAACTGGTTAACATGTAGCGATTGTTTTACTTGCAAGTGCAAGTCTGCTTAATGTCGGTGTCCAAGAGAGTCCCCTCAACATCTTTCGTCAAAGGGACACCCCCGGACATTCAAACCTTTCACGCGTCAAATCAGAGCAGAAAAAGCATCCTCAGGAATGAAGAGTTCGAAATATTCGAAGAATTGTAAATCTACAGAGACGGAGATGATCAGAGTGTAGAGTTGGACGCATCGTACAACGGATTTTGAATTCCAAATTCCAATCGGCCATGGCAGCCATGTCACCGGGCTGAAGTCTTCAAGCTTGGGCTAAAAGCATCTGTGAAAGCATCTGAAAGCATATCCTGTTCTAAGCCGCACACCAATTTGCGGCCTGAGTGGTTTACTCAATCTCCTGGCAGAGACCACCCTGCAGATTTCCAGTCATACTCATACTCATCGTCGTCATCGTCATCTTCATCTTCATGTTCATCTTGATTCAAACAAATGAAATAGGCAAACACTAAAATTATCAGCAACAAGTTCAAACCACTTCTCAAATGAGGAAAACGACGTCCTTCTCTGCCTCACCGCTTGGCGCTCCATTGGCACCATTGGCTCTCTCGGCTGCACCATTGGCCTGCCACGACTTCATGGCCTATCAGTAAAGATTCAGTAAAGATTCAGTAAAGCATAGTAAAGCATAGTAAAGCATAGTAAAGCATTGAAAGCTGCACAGTTTATTCCATAAAAATCAATGGGAAAAAAAAACAGGCAGAAATCAGTCGAATCAACGTCAATTCCACTAGCTTGTGCTTGGGTCCAAACAGCACAAACGAGATTGTTGGAACAACATCGAAATCTCTACCTCTTTAAATCCATGGCACACCATCTTTGTACATTCCATCGATCTGATCTGTGCCCATTATTTTACATGAGTGTGTTTGGATGCTTCGGTGATCGAGAGCGGATACCTTCTGAAACACTATGTGAAATATGTGAAAAGGTATGAAACCGGTTTACCGGATGAGCCTTGGCAGGTGAAGCAATGCCTTTGCACATCTTCGCGAACATTCCCTTGACCTGCGAACATCAGAATATGACTATTAAGATTATATATATATATTATAGATATATACAGTAATATCATGTATCAGAATAAACAAACAAAATTGTCTTTGCTTATTCCTGAAAAGATTGTTCTTATCGAAAGACATGTTCCTGTGACCTGCTCGTTGACAGTTGCTCTAAGATGCTATCATTAGCAACATAATATGTAACAAATGTAACAATATGTTGTAACCTGTTAATAACATTTAATAACTGTTATAAGTATAAATTATATAAGTTATATAAGTTATATATAAGTTATATATAAGTTATATATAAGTTATATATAAGTTATATATAAGTTATATGAATTATATATGTGTCTTCAAAGCTCCAAGTGCAGCTTGTGGTCATTCCAGTTGATTGGGTGCACCTTCTGATCCTCCTCTTTCTGTCCAACGAGTGCCTTGCAGGGAATCCCTGTACCAGTCTGCATGCGCAACACACAAATCCAAAATAAAACATCATCAAAGGTCAGGAGCCAGAACATCGGCATCCAAATGCATGCTGATCATTGAACTACAAACCTCCATTAACCAGCAGAGTTGCATGTGGCACAAACTTCGCAAACAAAATCCAGCTTTGCGCATCTGTGTCAAGGCCCAGTAAGGGCACCGGTTCACCCAAGACTTGGAGGATTTCCATGCAGCTCCATGCAGCTCCATGCAGCTCCATGCAGCTCCATGCAGCTCCATGCAGCTCCATGCAGCTCCATGCAGCTCCATGCTACATCCCCAAGTCAAAGGAATGAACGGTGCCTGTTTGTAAAGAACTTTGGCTTCACGATTGTCTGGATCAAGCTCCAGGATTCGCCTCTCTCGAAAGATTTCAGTGATGTCAGAGCATTTCTGGGTCCATCTGAGTCCATCTGTTAAACTCATGGATCATTGAATCATTGTTAAACAGATGATCATTGTTTGTTATGTTCAGTTTGTTCAGTTTGTTCAGTTTGTTCAGTTTGTTCAGTTTGTTCAGTTTGTTCATGTTCCGACTTGCTTGGTTGAGGACTTTATGTCGCGAAGACACTCTGCGTATTCGTAGAGGCCAAAAGCTGCTTGTGCGCGCCGGAACAGTGCCTCCAAATTCTTGTTTCAATGGCCAATCCATAGGCCATAGGCCATTCACATTGCTTTGCTTACATTTGCTCACTGTACCTGACTGTACTTGTAAAAGAGTTAAATCAAGGCTTTCGCTGGTGGCAGGGGCATCTTGCCTTCCGGTTTTCACTCTCATCTTTCAGCACATTGTTACAGCACCTCCCAAAAGTTGCTGCGAAGCACTCAATTCGTTTGATATCGATTCTCAACAAGCATCAACAGGCATTAACAAGCAGTTGCATGGGCCTTCTCGCATCTTGGTGCTGCTTCAGCTTAAGATGACCTTACTGCAAAGTGCAGTTTGTCTCTGATTTCTGCCAGCAGCCATTGGAGAAGCAAAAGTCTTTGCTCCGTCCTGAGGCACTTGCAGGCAGCTTTGTTCCTGGCATTTCAAGATTTCCATGAGCTCAGGAACCCCGGCCAGGAAGCAAGGCGGCTGCACAGATCGCAAAGCCTCTTTAGCTCTTTGGCCTGCAATAGACAAAAAATAAAAAAACATATAATAACATATATACAAAATTATACAAAAGACCAGTTTTCAAGCCACACATGCCACAGGACATAACTCGAACAGAAGCCACTACGCAGGATCATCTGGCCGCATCAGCTGTTCTGTCTTGAAAGCTTGCTGTCAGTTCTTCATGTAACATGTACATGTTCCTCAACGCCTTCGCCTTGTTTTCCTCCGTAAAATTATCAATGTAGTTGAAGAGATCCATTACCTCCCGTGGCTGTCGACTCCATACACGCAGGTCTGACCGTGCATTCCTGCTTTCAATCCACAGTCCGGCCCAAGTCAGACAGGCTTTGTCCGGAAGGTGATTAACCCAGCTTTGCAACCCAAAAGCGAAGGAATGATTTCATTTGCAACCCAGCTCTCAAATTGGGTGTCAGCAAGTGGTTCGCTGATGTATTTGGGTTCAAACATCAGCCAAGATTGTTGTCGAGACTAAGGGCAACCAGCAAGAAGTGGATTGCAGTGCTGCGTCTATTTTCCTCACCCTGATTTTAGTCTAAGCTCTGCAAACGTGTTTGCAGTTTTGAAGAGGGGGAGGAAGAAGAGGGACAAAAAGAAGAGGAAGGTCACGTATCTGTATTAGGTTCTCGCAAATGTTTGGCCTTCTTGTACCTCTCCAGGGCCAACTCTATTCTGCCTTGTTTGAAGAGGTTGCTGCCTTCGCTGCAAAGCAATGCAAAGAGATATTCAAAGCATTTAGAAGATTTTAGAAGTAAAAGCAAATTAAAGCAATTCAAAAATATTCAAAAGCAGTCCCCACCTACTTCTTTACGGTCTTGGCCTCGCTGCACCTGTCGCACTGCGAAGTGCAATTTGTCTGAGTCTACTCTGGGAGTCTAGTAAGAGTCAATTCGAAGAGTCCGCTCTTCTATCCTTGAAATGGAACAACAGACTTGCTCTAAGACTCACAAATATTTTCTTTGTGATCCGTCATTATTGTTATTCCACTCATCCAGCGTGAGCCTTCTCATCTTCTGAGAGCTCCCATTGGTCCTTGCGTTTCACGGAGCAGACATGTCTTTGAACGTACTCGGAGTCTGTGGCTGAAAACAAGCAATCGTGAAATGTGTCATGGTTTTCCTTGCCATGAGAAACTGTTGGAAGATCTGGCACGGCCGATTTTGAGCACCAATTTTGAGCCAATCCTTCTGCTTCTCAAAATCGACCAGCTCCAGCACCATGACAGTCTGCGCTTCGACACAGTCTGGAAACATCCGCACTCGACAGACTCGACAGACTTGACAGGTCACAGTCGGTGCCACATTTCGACCTCACCACTGGGAGCGAGTCCAAGCCGGGGTTCTGTGCAGCTGTTTGGCCTCCCGGTCAATGTGAAAAATGTTCCATAAACAGATGTAAGCCAATTGCAAAGCAAATGTAAGAACATGTAAGCAGTATGATAAATTTTAAAAAAAAACTGGCAAGACGCAAAGAGAAGGCATTGACGCAACTGGGGAGCATGGTGTCTGCATCACAAGAGGTGAATTGGACTGAAGTGTGCCATAGCTGGCTTCATCTGTAGTAATTTCATGTAATTTCTATGGTCTCGCACCTGGAGCACGTAAGAATGGCTCTCTCGCCCTTCTTCATCTCCAGAACAGCGCCTCACAGTCACGCGCTCTGTCACCGTGAAGGCTTCACTGTTCGTCCTACTCCGGCCTCACGATTTTCACATGCACCAGTCATGCACCCGACTCAGTCCACTGGTCCACCCAGTATCTATCTTCTCTAAATATATTCTTGGTGTATTTCTTGGTGTATTTCCGGATTTTTCTGTCACCGTACAAACTGGAGCACAGCGCAGCCTTCCAAGGCGTCGCACACTTCACCATTGCCGGCAGTAAAGTCGAGCCTGGAGATCTCATTTCTGATACTTCGGTCATTTTTGAAACTGAGAGACTTCTATAGACTTCTTATGACTTGCAACAGCTTTCATGAATTTTCATGAGCATTCTGGGCTTTCCACGTCTCGGACTTACCGGCCACTTCGACCTGAAACGTACATGTGAGCCGTTGGAGTCTGGCATAAATTATGTGTCATTGGCAATGCCTTCGTGCAATGCAGGTGTCCTCTATTGGCGTGACGTGTGTTGTGTGGTGTTGACTTCAGTTTTGTCGTCTTTTGTCATTTGTTCATGTTTGTTCAGTTTGGGAGTTGTAATCTCTGTGGTGCAGACGGTCAGCTTCACTTTCCAGGCATCTTTGGGAGATTCGTAGCCTGATCAGTTCCCATTTCTTGGCAGCAAACATGTGATGTGTTTCAAGAAAATTGTGTAAATAGTCTAAAACGTCTCATTCCAGAGAAATTGAACCTTCTCCTTCTCTGACCTGCTTCTTCATTAGTGACCTCAGCTGGTTCGCCGTGAATGTCCACGCATTCTCTACAATGCTTTGCATCATACAGCTCTCACGGCTGTAAAATAGAACTAAAAGAACCATGAACTTCATTCAAAGTGGCTTATCTTTGGCGAACGACACGTCCTGCACAAGTGAGTTGCCCTTTCTGGGTCGCTCTTCCTTTGATTTCTCCTTGCTACTGCTAGTGATGAAAATGATAAAGGCTGCTCGGCCTTGAGGTCATACATCTCGTGCAACGTGATTTCAACCTGTTCATCACACAATTCTCCATCACACCGAACCACGGACTGAACTGCAACCCATCTGCAACCCATCTTGGCCCCAGCCGTGCCGCCATCTGGGTGGCTGTCAAGGAAATAGGCCTGAACGCCATTCGTCCGAACGCCAGCAACTGCCCCTTCTGCCCAAAATCGAAGTCTTCAGAGTCTTCATGTTCACAGCTTGACACAACTTTCAACCGGAACTGCCATAAAATTGACACAAGCACCTACAAATTCTATCAAATTCTGATCCGCTTTTCACATGGTCTCTCCTTCTTGCATTTGACAGAGACTTCTTCTCCCTTTTTCATGTTCTCCAAAGCCTCACGGTCTCCAGAGCTTAGCAAAGCTTTTTGGAATCGCTCAGAAAGCACTGTCCCATACTGTCCCTTGTACACAGCAGACATGAGCCTTGTCAGCAACTTTGCTCAACGCTCCGAGCGTGCCGGAGGACAGAGTGTACTCCACCTCTCACAGCATGGACTCGATACTCGATAGGTGGCTAGGTAGGAGCAGCTTAAGACTGCAACATATACCAAATTGGAGAATTTGAGATGCCAGTGCAATCCTGCCAGATCAAGAAACAAAAACAGAGAATTCGCTAGAGCACATTGATTTTTGACGCCTTTATTTTCTCCTCCAGGACGCTGTCATCTGAAGCCTTCTCGTGCACGTTTCGCAGTCACTTGAAACTTCTGAGAAAAAATCTTCAAAAAGTGTACAATGAAACAAGAAACTCCCACCTTCGTACAAATGCTCATGAGGACCTCATTTCCAGCCTTGGAAATCCAAGGAGTTGAGTTCTTTCATCAGACATAGCACGTGTAGCAGGATTCACCAGTCCCGACTGCCAAGTGACAGGGGACACCAGGGGAGTGCGTGTTTTTGTTTTTTTTTGCTTAGTGACTTGGTGGATTCTAGTGGATTTGGTATCTGACCATTCTGACCAAGCACCACTTTGTTCATCTTTGTCCATCTTTGTCCAGGGTCATATTTCAACAAGTGACGTTGGGAGTCCTCCATCCGGAGCCTTCTTTCAGCTGGGTCTTTATTGCGCCCTGATCTGAGAACAATACGATGCCAAATTGGGAGCCATGATATCGTGTGACGTGCTGAATGCTCCACTCGTGCCTTCTATATTGCTTTCTGAAGGAGAACTTGAAACAGTGGAAACGAAAACCAAAAAAAACATGAAGAATCATGAAAATTCTCAATAAAGCTGTCTTTGCAAGTAGCTCAAGACAGCTCAACTCTCCAAATTGACTAAAATTGGCTTTCTCGCCACTTGCACCACACCTCGTCCCCAAAGAGATCATCTTTGGACACCCAACCTTTGGTGCCACCATGTGCCCCATCCGGCCCCATCCCCTATGGATCCGGATTTCTCGAATGCCTACAGCCTCATGCCTCAGCATGCCTCAGCATGCCTCAGCCACCAACCCAAAAGCTCTATCTCAAAGACCAAGGTCGCCTGACCACATACCAATGCGCCAATGCTTCAATGCGTCATGTCTAGCAGCATTGCATCAGCTTCCGAGTCGTCTCACCATAATATGACTATGTCCTCTATGTCCTCTATGTCCTCTATGACTCTATGTCCTCTATGTCCTCTGCTTTGCCGCAGGGGTACTGGTTGTTTTCGTTTTCATTGCATCCAGTTCTTACGCGAGATTTGTGGTCAAACATGCCTTTAAAAACAAAACCTTCGTGATGAATGTCTTTAAGCTGCTAATTTGAGCTCCTTTAATCTTGTCAACCCGACTCGCCTGAGGTGGGATTTCAGGTGGCGAGCCTGTGAGTTACAGTCGAGGGCTGAAGTCAGAGCAGTTTTCTTGAGTGTGGACAAACCGCTTGCGGAAAAGTCGCCACGACCGGGTCACAGCAGGGTCACAGCAATCCATCAAAACACAAGGGGATTGCCTTCATTTGAAGGATACAAAGTACCATTATAACAATCACGGGAGAGCCCACCCCTCGCGCTGCAGACTACTCTTCTGCCAGCACTGCTTTGCATTACAAAAAAATCATTCTGCCACAATGGTTTGATTTGAGAAGGAGTAAGACTGAGTGAACGAAGGAAACAATGAAAAGAGAAGAAGTAACAGTCTGTGAGAAAGAAAGTGAAGAAGATAAAAAAAGGAACGAACAAAGAACACAAATGAAAACAAGTGCTGAAAATACAACCGAACGACCCCCCGAACAACCCCCGAACGACCCCTGATTCATGAGTTGTCAAGCGCATTGACCACAACATGAAGTGCGGAACTCCCTGCGCCACCGCACCCCTTCTTCATCCCAAACCATCAAATAAAGAAAACGAACGTCCCTCCCATCCAAAAGAGGTATATAAGTAAGAGGAATGACCAAAGGGACGTTTCCCCCATGCAAGCTAAATGTTAAATATGTTGTCCTATCCACCCAGGCAAGCAAGCAGCAGCAGTAGCAAGCAGCAGCAAGCAGCAGGCAAGAAGCAAGCAAGCAGCAAGCAAGCAGCAAGCAAGCAGCAAGCAAGCCAGCCAGCAAGCCAGCCAGCCAGCAAGCAGCAAGCAGCAGCAAGCAGCAGCAAGCAGCAGCAAGCAGCAGCAAGCAGCAGCAACAGCAAGCAGCAGGCAAGCAGCAGCAGGCAAGCAGCAGCAGGCAAGCAGCAGCAGGCAAGCAGCAGCAAGCAAGCAGCAACCAGCGTTTGCCCCTTTGAAAAAATGAACAAATATAAGCTTTAAAAATCGACGCGATACTAAAAAATGATTTTTTTCCAGGAGCACGGCCCTAAAACAATGAACGATTTCAATTACTAAAAGTTGTGATGATGCGAAACTTGAACTTTTTCCAGGCGCACGGCCTCCCGATACGACTTTCAGAAACTGATACGACTTAAACCGAGCACTTGTATGGTCATCCAAGAACCCAACGGAAATACATGGGTTTGACCCACAAAAGCCTCTAAAACGATTCAACAAATCACTGCAAATCTCATAGGCACAGCCACAATCGCTACGACCCCCCTGAAAAGCTTCGCCCAATGGTATGGACTCAAAAGCAAAGAATCGCTACGACTTTGACCCTTGACTGTACGGAGCGAAGTTATGCGAAGTTGCGATATGTTACGAGTACTTACGACATCTTACGACATCTTACGACATCTTCCGACGTGCGGAATCCCGTTCAGAACGGGCCTTCTTCACCGTAGGCGTATTCCGCCGCGATAGTGAACTTGGCAATTTCACCTGGGTCACCGTGACAAAGGACTCAGCCCCAAGGGACTCAGAGGCTAAGTCCACCGCTGTTCAACAGCTGTTCACTATCCATACTCCATGCAGAGCCCACCTTTCTTCATTGTCTTGACGGCCAAGTCCCAGCCTGTGCAGTCCGCTCAAACCGATATGCTGTACATTGCTGTACCATGGAGTTATGTGTTGCGCATCCGACTCCAGCTGGGCTCCAAACCCTTGATGACTTGTCCACCTCCGAGGGCAAACTCCTTGACACAGAACGTGCTGTGCAAAATGTCTCAGTACAGCGCTGCACTAATTGTGATCAGTGCTGCAGTGCTGCAGTGCTGCAGTGCTGCAGTGCTGCAGGCTGTGTATGGCTGTGTTGGAACAAAAGCATTCTAGATCATCCATGATCATCCTTGATCTCTACTTGCAGCTTGAAACATGATATTGGTCTTGATTTCATTAGCCGTAATTTACATACGTATATTTATACACAACATGGCAATATATATATTGCATTGTCATGTATTGTCTGCATTGCGTTCTGATGTTTCCGGTTTGATTCATTGCCCTGGGGCTATAGCCAAGGGCTGGTTTCTGTCTCGGGACGAGTCAAACTTGCTCCTTCGGCCGCCCGCATTCAATAAATGTTGAACAAGTTCCATGCCCTCGATGCTGAGCAAAACTTGTGAAACCAACATAACAAACGCAAAACAAACGCGGAACTCAAAGCAGAGTGTTGGGCGCACCAATGCCACAAAATATACAAATTCTAAAACTTGTTCATGTCTGCTGTGTCTGCTGTGTCTGCTGCGTGCTCTGGCTCGCTCCCATCGGTCAAAGTTCCCACGTAGTGAACTTTCACCTCGTCACCCTTCTTGGGCCTGGCTCTGCCAAGCAGAAGAACCCCGGACACTGTTCCACTGACAACAAAACATCTGGGAAATTCATCTGCAAATTTTATCCACAAGCCAGAGAGACATCCGCCATTCAGACCTTGTTCAGCAGGGAAGACTGCTGTTTGGGGCACACCAAAAACTGCCAAAAACACCTCATGGATCTTTATATCACAAAGAATGACAAAGCTGATTCCACTGGGGGACTTTGGGTAAATCCAGACGGAGTGTCTGATGGCTCCAGTGAAACTCTGACTGCACTTGGTCCAAAGTCCAAACAAGCTGTTTTTGTTTGGACAAAGACATGTCTTCGAAGTCTAAGTACCAAATGTCTGCAAAAAATCACCAGCCAGGATGTTTGAGATAACCTTGGAACGCTAAATTGAATACTTTTGTGTTTGAATTTTATAATGGCGGCTCCGAGTCGTGGACTCTGCAGGGGTAATGATCTCTTTTTGGATCCCTTCCGGCAGGTCGTCTGGCCTCGCTCGGAAGCAGCTGCTACCAAAAACAAAAAGCAATGTCATGATGTCATGGATCAATCGGAATCCCGGAAGGCTTGGGAGCTTAATGGCCCATCATGGCCCACAGGCAACTGATCGGCCAGGTCACTCGTCCATGCCCATCTCCTCCTTAGCTTTCAGAAAAGGCGAGTGTGAATGCCAATGAACCAAGACATCCATGAACAAGGATGAAACACAATTCACAACATAGTACTAATAAAATCTAATAAATACTAATGATTTAATAGATATATACCGACAATAGTAATAATAATGATTAATAATGATTAATAATGATCAATAATGATCAATAGTGCATATAAATTTGAATGAAGCACAACGAAGCCACAGAGATTGCTGAGATGGCTGAGTTTGGACATTGTCGCCGGGGCACATCGTAGTCGTCTCCCCCAAAGCCGTCGAGGCCCTCTGGCATCTCCTCGTCCATTCCGCAGCGCTCCCACAGAACTGAAAGATCTGAAAGCTGCGAAAGTTCTGGCGCAGCTGGAACTGCGGCGATGCATTGGATGCATTGGATGCGTTGGATGCGTTGTGTCAAATGACATGAGCTGATGCCACAATTTAAACAGAAAACAATTGATTCAGCGGATCGCTTTGACCTTTAGATTCAAACGGCTGATCAACTGGCAGAACCTTCAATCCGGCTGATCGCAGCTATTCAGTAGTCTGCTAATATCATGGTTCTTTCCAGCTTGTAACTTTGCCGAATAGCATGTGATAAGATACCCGCCAAGAAACCCTTTTCAAGCACATGTGAAGCGGCTGATGCAGTGAACGCTAGGGATCACAGGTGGATCACAAATGGATCACATGCTAATGACGCATAATTTGCATATGCCGCGGAAATGGGCCAAGCACAGCTCACACAGCTCAGCTGCATCGTCCATTGCGAAGGAAGCAAAGCACAGAACTGTGCGAACAAGGAACAGCTTGGCAGGTGCTCACAGCACCACATGCGTTCACCTCACAAGGGCGGTGGAAGTAATTAAGAAACCATATGGAAACATGAGAAAAACATAGGAAAACCAGAAACTTAGAGCAAATCTGCTCAATGGGAAACAGGAAACTGCATGAAACTGTAAAGATGTTCAAAGCCCTCGAACCTTACGGTGCTTAGACCATGCTTTGGCGAGGACACCAAAAAGGAAATGCGGAAGAAAATGTGACTCGCATGCGAGGAAATGCTGGTGCAAGGTGAGTCATGTGACTCGGTGAGCAAAACCGATGAAAACCGTGGGAGCAAAACAGGAAAGCCGTGTGAGCCCAGTGTGAGCAGGTTCTTCCTTTGGCTCGGTGCCAGGGGTGGGTTCTAAGTCCTGAGCCTCGTTGTGGGATCAAGTCTGCATCTCATGCTGGACTCCTCCTGCAACCGATGCACAATTGACATCAATTGACAATGCATCAAACCAGCACACTTGTGAAGAACCGGAGATGTTGCAATCATCCGTAAAAGAAGCGAAAGTGTTCATTGAACACTGACTAGGTTATGTTTACACTTACATGTGCCACACATAGGTCATGTAATACTTATGATATAGTAGTATGAGCTTCAACTGAGTCCGTGGCCTAGAATAAATTGACAGTGAATGAGACACTGTAGGCTGTACAGTGGAGGCTCAACTAGGCTTAAGCCTGTCAACATTGTATCTATGCGAGGTTTGCAGAATTTCCGATTTCATGATGCGCTGATCTGTCACTCGCCTGAAAAGTGACGCCTGAAAAGGGCTGCGAGTCGAGATCAGCTTGGAGAGAATGATTCGTTTCCGAGCTAAAGCTCTGCGAGAGAAAGATCGGAAAGATATCACTGATAAGCGCTCAAGAGCTGCGCAGCCCGATGAAGGCTGGGCTCCTGGTCTTTGAAGTAGCGGTCCAACCACATGTTCTCGTGCTTGCCGCCACACATAAATTGTCTGCCACCTGGAGAAAAACATAGCTGTGGGTCTGTGGCCTGAAGCAAAAACAGCCTCAAATGCTACCTCACATGAAAACAGTGCAACAGCCCATCATTGCAAAATCAGAACACATTTCCAGCCGAAGTTGAAATCAGCTAGCAGCTAGATGTGAGGACACCCTGGAACACCTGTTGCATTCAGTGGAATCCATTGGCACCTGTTTGAGTGCAGAGTTCAGGGCACGGTTGGTAGCACTTGCTGAATCCAGCAAAGGACTTGGCACAGTAGTACCTAGGGAACGGTGGAATCACATGTCACGAGACCAGCTTTGAATGGAACCTTTCTGAATACGCCCGAACAATTCATGAATACGCATTAAGATCATTAAGGTACTGCAGAAACGACCGCTCGGTGACGATGAACTGATGAATGCACAAACAGGATCAAGCACGCGAGTACGTAGCGCTGACATGCATGGATCAAAGATATCAAAGCATTCACTAATCTAGTATAGCAGCTTAGCACGTGAGTCAAACATGTTTTTGTCAAATTCGACCATGGTCAAGGAACAGATCTTGGTGGTCCTTGCAGATGCAGTGCACCGGCCTCGGTCATCGGACCGAGACTCAGAGTGAGACTCGTGAAACCGTTGTGAAATCGAGACATGTCGAGACTCAGGGTGAAGCCCAGCCATGTACGGCTCCTCAAGAGTTCAGATGCGACTCAGTAATCTGTCAATGTGAGTTATGTGAGCTATGTATGGCTATGTAATCTGAGGCAAAGCGGCACCTCAGTTTTCTTAGCTGTCTTCTGCAGTGCGCTGAAAGCCTCAAAGCTGACCGCAGAGAACGGCAGAGAACCTCTCATTGCTGCACTGCCGCACCGCACCGGCACTTCGGGGGAATGCTTGGGAACCCTGGCACTTCGATTTGGTGCTTGGGATTCGTCATCGAAGTCCAAGGCTTCCTGAAACCCCCATTCCCCAACTTGGAAGCAGAACCGTCAGACCACAGAAGTAAATCACATCAGTGTTTACACCTTTGCTGATTTTGCTGGGCTTTACTAGAAGTAAATTGTGTTCATAAAATTTCATAAATACATGCTCCAGAGTCATTCACCACACAAGCTCAAGCAGCTCATGAGAAATGCAGTGATATTTACTACACCAGTGATATTTACAATGGAAAACAGGGACGAGCATAGACGAGCACTGCTTCTTATGCTGGAAAAATCTCCTTGTTCGCGCCTCGAGCGACGAGGACGCACTGCCAACTATCAACAATGCAAAGACACCTCAGCTTGCTCCAAGTGAACTAAGTGAACTAAGGACGTCCTGTTTGCACAAATTGTCATTGCTTGATGTTGCTTGTGTTTTACAGATGGATTTAAGATGTCCAAAAAGCAAATGACTTCAAAAATGCTAAGCTGATGGCGGAACCACATCTTGCACAACGTTGCACAAATCTGGTGGCTCGGTTCACCTGGGCGCAGAAACTGAGAGCACGGGTTGAGCCCAGGTGCAGTGCAATCGCTCAGCAAGCGGCGAAGGATTCGCGAAATGGACAAGGCGCTGTTGACCGAAAGGTTTACTGCCCACGAGCGCTTGAGCCCCAATTTTGAAAAAGGCGCTTCCATCTTGAAACAGCTGCTACAACCTTCAATAGACTTCCCACAACTTGCAGCAACTAGCAGCAACTAGCAGAACTAACGCAGCATGCCAAACTCCCATGTTGCCTAACTTCTGGTGCTATTTTCCGCCAGGTGCAAAGGTTTTGCGTCGCCTAGAACGGGTGAAATCTCAGTCTTCTGCCTCGCCATCAGCAGCGCAAATGTAACGGCAAGTCAAAGAAGATCAATTTTATTGCGGTAAATAAATGAACAAACAAACCATCCATGTCAGATAGTGCAAGGTCAAAATTAAAAAGGTTCACTGAAAAGCATGAAAATGTAATGAATTTGAATGAACTCACAAACCTTGGTGAAAGATGTTGCAGTCTGTACCCATCAGGCAACTTCAAGATGCCCATGCCACCTTTCGGCTTTAGGCTCTTTAGGCAGAGCTTTAGACATAGTTCGAACCCGGGAAATCTCCTAGTTAACAGACAAATACACCAAGTCTTGTTGTGTATTGTACGTCTTTGCATTTTCACTTTGCAGATTCCTCCAAGTGAAGGAGTGGAAGGACCCCGCAGCAACTGGTAACGCATGATCTACGTCGCTAGCCCCGTCGTGGCCGGACATTGCAAGCTGCCTCTCTGTTGGTAGCAACATAGATCTTTACGTTCACTGGACAGTAGGTCCAGACTGCGAGAATTGCAGTGTTGAGCCCTTTTCCTGAGCTCAAAAGGATGGGAGGCCATGTTCTCTGTCTCGCTTTCCAACAAGAATGCTTGCAAACTTCAGCAAGATTGAATGACAAGACAAGCCTCAACCTTCAAAAAAATCTGGAAAGAACTCAGTTTTTAAAATGGCAGATTCAGACAGCCCAGTGGTTCGTCCCAGTCGCCACAGCTGCAGGACTCTCTGCCATGTTGCACCTGGCTTTTTGAAGCTGTTAAGCATGGGAAATGAAGTTGCAGAATGGTTTCAATGCGTCGCCCCAAAACACACAAATCAAAGCACGGCAACGGTGGATGACTGTCATGGGCTCCACATTTTGTCCCCATTTTGTCGGTAAAACATGGCTGCCACATCTGAAGCAGGGACTGCGTCCAGACCTTGGTTACTCCACCGTCCAAAGTCGGAGGCAGTCCGACTTGTCCCAACCGGTCCCAACAGCTTTTCCCTTGGATTCTAGCCACGGATGCTTGGATTTCACGTGTGAGGCTGGCGGCCAAAGGCACTGGTGCAGCCTTGGCGCAATAAATATGTGTTTGTACAGTGTACACTTTGTATCTAAAATTTATATCAATAATATATCGAACTATCGAATCATTCCAATGTTCTCTACAGGTCTTTATCAGAAAACTCCCAATCCGAAGACCGTGAGGACCACACCGGCTTTCCCGTAAGCGCTAGCTTCTTGGACTGCACGCTATGTTGCGCCTTGGCAAAGAGAACACTTGTCTCTACGGTCTGGGAGTCTAGGGACTGAAATACAGAAGTTCCCCATTGCCCGTCCTCCCGATTCCAAGCATCTACAACATCTTACAATTACCTACTGTACTTGGAGGATTTGATGGGTTTACTTAGTTTACTTCCTTCAACTTACTACAGATGCCTCTTGTTCTTCTCACAACACATTTGTCCTATCTGCCCAGCACGTCCGGTTTGACTTCACTTCCTTGCTGACTTTAGTTGGTTTGATTCTTGCATTTTTCCTACCCCTTGGTACCAACATGTACCAACTCTTTTAATTGAAGTCGGGTCAGTTCATCCCTCTCTTTCTCCAGTCACAAGCCTCGAACAAGACTTCGGATTTTTTTTTTTGGATTTTGGCAAAGAATGGGATAAGATCCTGGAATGTGTTGCAATATGTTGGCGTTGCCTGGATGGCTTCGCAGAATTTGGTCGCATCATCAGCGATGCTTTCAGCCTTCCAAGCATTGAATCATGCCCCCAGA